ACAGAGTGAACCTATACTATTGAACATCAAACTGATCCCACCCATAAGGACAGTACGAGAGATACAGCAAGCCCCTGAGAGATTTTCGGCTTTCTTTGAGCTTCGTCAGCGAGGTGCAGCAGATACCCCTCTAGACACCATCGTCCGGGGTTACTGTATCTCTCATGCAGAGAGAACTTGCTGACATTTTGTATCGGGCCTGCCCTTATGGGTGGGATCAGTCTGATGTGCAAGTGGTGTAGGCTCTCTTTGAAATGATACAAGTGAGCAAATAATTTTAAAAAACCTGAGCTGGGACTAACCAAAGGATTCTCATATTTTCAGTTTTTCATAAACCTACCAGACACTGCCTGTTGTGGTCGTGGTCTAAATATGAATATTAATCTCTTAATACATAATAATTAAGCAATACGGAACAACATTAATATTTTTATAATTCATGGTATTATGGTCGAATATGTGGATAGAAAATACACAAAACGTTGTAATATTAAATGTATATTTAATATAACTATAACAAATAAACAGATGCTAGCAGAATGTCAATTTACTACAAATGTATATTTAATATAACTATAACAAATAAACAGATGCTAGCAGAATGTCAATTTACTACAATTATGATACAATACAAAACTACAAATACTTACAAAAGGTTGCTACATGTTACACAACATTTTACTTACAAGGCCCCAGCCCTTTGGCTGGGGTTAAGTCAGAGCTGCTACTACATCTTTCAGGTACAGGCAAAGAGGCAAAGAGACAGAGTTTTCTCCTCCATCTGGTTTTATTCAGTGTAAGTAGGCTGGCCTGTGATGTCACTGCCAGAAGCACATGTCTTCCTACACACTCCCCCTAGTGGTGCCCCCAAAGCATTACACTAAATATGCTTTCTTTATGATGTAAAGTCATTAATTAATAAATACCATTACACTGCCTGTCCTTCCTATCAGTGGTTTACACATTGCCTACTCTTGTATAAATAAGAATGGGCTGTAAATTGTTGTTAGTAAAGAAAACAAAACATTGGCAATCAAATATATACGGGGATTCAGTTCCACCACATGGCCATATCATGTTAAGACCACAACTACGCCAAGGTACCTTAATATCGGTGGGTCCTACACTAATTCCAACGTGGGAAACAAATTAAATAGTGCAAATGGTAAATAAGCTTAAGTGTATTTTAATATTCTGTTGTAAGAGCATTGTGAATATATATGTAATGCAAAATGAATGTGATAAAAAACACAATACAAAAAATCAGTGGGCTTGACACAATATGGTGGAACTGAATCCCCATAATTTAAAACTGTATTTTTATTTGTGTGCTGTTATTTAATCTGTATTATGTATGTATTTTGGCCTCTGTGGCAGAACCAGTCTGAAAGTTGTATGTTCCAGCTGTGCCCTTAATTCCCTTTTTTTCTTTATTGTGTATGGTAAACTGTTTCTGTAGAGCTGCCTGCTGAAGTCGTAGCTGATGCAGTTCTTCCCTCGTTTCCTTTGGTGTGCCAATAACTTGGTCGCCTGATGCTGTGAGTAGAGTTGAACTAACCCGAACTGAAAAGTTCAAGTTCGTACCGAACATTACATTTTTTGGACACCTGACCTGAACATGGACATATCACTGTATGTTCGGCTTGGAGTTCAGTGTTCGGCGATTTAATGGCGCGTTTTGAAAGGCTGCAGGGCAGCCAATCAACAAGCGTTTGACTCGTGTGCCCTAGGAAGCCATCACAGCCATGTCTACTAATGGCATGGCTGTGATTGGCCAGTGCAGCATGTGACCCAGCCTCTATAAATAAGATGGAGTCGCGTAGCGCCGCACGCACATGCGGTCTTTCTTAGTGTAGGGAGAGGATGCTGCCGCTGATAGGGACAGCTTAGGAAAGAATTCTGCAAAGTGGGGTGGGGTGCACTTCATATCTGAGAGTCAAATAGAAGCTTCAAATACCGCGGTTACATCGGAGTTTTAAAAATTACATTTTTTGGGGTGGGAAATAGTACATTAGTGGGGTAGTACATTAGTGGGGTGCACTTCATATCTGAGAGTCAAATAGAATTGTCAAATACTGCTGTCACATTGTAGTTTTAAAACTTAAAATGTTTTTGGGCCCTAAACTGCTAAATAGTATTTTAGTGGGGTGCACTTCATATCTGAGAATCAAATCGAAGCGTCTAATAGTGTACTTAAAGCGCAGTGGTAAACATTTTTATTTTCTGGTTGCTAATCTGCTAAACAGTACATTTTGGGGCCTGCACTTCATATCTGAGAGTCAAATAGAAGCGTCTTATACTGCGGTTACAGCGCAGTTGTAAACATTCTAATTGTTTTGCTGCTAATCTGCAAAATAGTACATTTTGGGCGTGCTCTTCATATCTGAGAGTCAAATCGAAGCGTCTAATAGTGCGCTTACAGTGCAGTGGTAAACATTCTTATTTTCTGGGTGTTAATCTGCTAAATAGTACATTTTGGGGCCTGCTCTTCATATCTGAGAGTCAAATCGAAGCGTCTAATACTGCGGTTACAGCGCAATTGTAAAAATTCTAATTGTTTTGGTGCTAATCTGCTAAATAATACATTTGCGGACTGCACTTCATATCTGAGAGTCAAACTGAAGCGTCTAATAGTGCTCTTACAGCGCAGTGGTAAACTTTCTTATTTTCTGGGTGCTAATCTGCTAAATAGTACATTTTGGGGCATGTTCTTAATATCTGAGAGTCAAATAGAAGCGTCTAATAGTGTGCTTACTGCGCAGTTGTAAACATTCTAATTGTTTTGCTGCTAATCTGCAAAATTGTACATTTTGGGCGTGCTTCATATCTGAGAGTCAAATCGAAGCGTCTAATAGTGCGCTTACAGTGCAGTGCTAAACATTCTTATTTTCGGGGTGCTAATCTGCTAAATAGTACATTTTGGGGCCTGCTCTTCATATCTGAGAGTCAAATCGAAGAGTCTAATAGTGTGCTTACAGCGCACTTATAAACATTCTAATTGTTTTGGTGCTAATCTGCTAAATAGTACATTTTGGGGCCTGCTCTTCATATCTGAGAGTCAAATCGAAGCGTCTAATACTGCGGTTACAGCGCAGTGGTAAACTTTCTTTTTTTCTCGGTGCTAATCTGCTAAATAGTACATTTTGGGGCTTGTTCTTCATATCTGAGAGTCAAATAGAAGCGTCTAATAGTGTGCTTACAGCGCAGTTGTAAACATTCTAATTATTTTGCTGCTAATCTGCTAAATAGTACATTTTGGGCGTGCTTCATATCTGAGAGTCAAATTGAAGCGTCTAATAGTGCGCTTACAGGGCAGTTGTAAACATTCTAATTTTCTGGGTGCTAATCTGCTAAATAGTACATTTTGGGGCCTGCACTTCATACCTGAGAGTCAAATAGAAGAATCTAATACTGCGGTTACAGCGCAATTGTAAACATTCTAATTGTTTTGGTGCAAAACTGCTAAATAGTACATTTTGGGGCGTGCACTTCATATCTGAGAGTCAAATCGAATCGTCTAATAGTGCGCTTACAGCGCACTTGTAAAAATTCTAATTGTTTTGGTGCTAATCTGCTAAATAGTAAATTTTTGGGCCTGTTCTTCATATCTGAGAGTCAAATAGAAGCGTCTAATAGTGTGCTTACTGCGCAGTTGTAAACATTCTAATTGTTTTGCTGCTAATCTGCTGCTTACAGTTTTCAACAGTCAATTTTTTTATTTTTTTTTGGCACTAAATAGTATATTTGGGGTGTTCACTTCATATCTGAGAGTCAAAGCGTAACTTTTATTCAAATTTACTACATCGGTCACTTGTAATATTGTTTCACACCTACAACACTTACACAGATCTAAGTGATAGAAAACAGATTTATATTTTCTACACTAGAAACTACCAGATAACAAGCGGCTATATTTAAACCAGTGATCAATAGCTAAGAGGTACTTCATCAATATTGTAATTCTGGGGCAATACCCTCAGAAGTCAAACTAAGAGGTCAGTTTATAGGGAAAACTGTTGCCTGGAGGAAATTCTAAAACAATTTCCATATGTCCTTTGCAGACTTTACATGGAAAAACAGGTGCCAACTGCTGTGGCTTTCTGCAGTGTGCATACCGGCAAGGAGGGCAGGGTTGAGGAGTGGGTGGAAGATGATGTGGAGGATGACGAGGTCCTAGACCCCACATGCAATCAAGGTCATGCGATTGACGTGTGCAGTTTGGAGGAAGAGGCGCTGGTCGCACAGAGGCACCACCACAGCATAAGAGGGAGCAGGGTGCAAAAGCGGAGCGGCCGTCCCCTGGCGCTCGTCGACATGTATTAGCTCGAAAATAACCAGTTATCCAAGTAATACATGTAGCGATCAAAGGATCCATAATAGACTTGAGCGAACCCGAACTGCAAAGTTCGGGTTCATACCAGATATAACGATCCATTCGTAGTTTCACAGTCAGGTGGGCAGTCCGGTGACCACGACTCAGACACTGTCTGGGTGGCGGTCAGACAACCAGGACCCAGTATGCCTGATGTTGAAGTTAGGAGTCACAGTGTGGAATGGATTAGCAGGGTCTGGTGCAGGGTAACTGCACGCCCCCTGATGTTGAGCACCAGCGTTTGTGCGGCCACATATCAGGACCCTGGAGTACTGGATACCAGAAGCCGTCACCAGACTGATCCGCAACTTGGAACAGGATGTGACATTCACTGTAGCGGCTGCGCGCGCTTTTGGCGTTGTCACCCTGCTGCTGTTCGCCCGTCTGCGCTGCAGCGTAACTTCAGCCTTCCCGTTCACCTCCTCATGAGACTGTGCGAGCAGCAGCAGGCGATAGTGGAGTTTCAGCTGCAGCACTCAAGGGTCAGTGGCTCTGCACCAGACTTCCCTCCAGTTGATCAGAGTTAAAGGATTTCAAGTGGACTCATTACAATTACAGGGCCTCTAAAGAGTCCTGTATTATTTGTCGTCACTACCTTCCCGTGTCGGGAGTAGGTCATTTGCGCGAATGCTGCCTTGCATCTGGTAGCCGTTTCTCAGGGTCCCTGTGCGGAATGGAACCCTGATTCCCCGTTACCCGTGGTCACCATGGTAGGCGCAGAAACTGGCATCTAAAGTTGATATGGATGACATCCGCATGCAAAGTCGCCGCCCCGAGGTTCTCTAGAGTCAACAAAGTTCCTGAGCAACTATAATGTCAACAGCTACTCTGCAGAACAGAGTTGTCTTTTTTTATATGTCCCAATATTTTGGGGGCTACCCCAATAAAAAAAAAAAATACATATATATATATATATATATATATATAAAAATAGTGTTGGCTACCTCATCCTCTTCCTGCACCGCCACGGTCACCGCCTCCTCAACCTATCGGTCACTTAGTATAAACTAGGTACACATTAGCAGAGGCTTGTGAAGGCCTTTTCTCCATGCATCAGGAGTTTAGCATTAGATCTGCAAGAAATGCACCGCAGGCCGCAAATGTTTCTTTTTTGTATGTCCCAATATTTTGTGGGCTACCACGATAAAAAAAATAAAAAAACATAAATAGTGTTGGCTACCTCCTCCTCCTCCTCTTCCACTGCCACGGTCACCGCCTCCTCAACCTCAACCTATGGATCACTTACTATAAACTAGGTACACATTAGCAGAGGCTTGTGAAGGACTTTTCTCCATGCATCAGGAGTTGAGCTCAGTTTGAACAATGAAAGAGAATACCCTGCACTCCAACCCTCTCTCAAATGCAGTGGCGTACTAAGGAGGGGGCAGGGGGGCGATCCGCCCCGGGTGCCAGCAGGGTGGGGGGTGCCTTGGGAGGGGGCGCCAGCCCCCCTCCTGCTGCAGCCACCCGAGCGCTCTGCAGAGAGCCTCAGGAGGCTGTAGCTTTGCCCGCCCGGGCGCAGCCTGAGGAGAGGGGCTGACATGGGGGAGCGCTCAGCGCTCCCTCCTGTCACTCCCTCACTGTAGCGTGGCCGAGCCCTGTATAGTCCGCACTTCCTGTTAGTCCGGCCGGGTACAGGAAACAAAAGCTACCTGTACCCGCGGACTATACTGGGCTCGGCCACGCTATAACTGAGGTAGGGGGGTGGTGGTGGAATAAGGAGAGATGGGGGGGTGTAATAAGGAGAGATGGGGGTGGTGGAATAAGGAGAGATGGGGGGTGGAATAAGGAGAGATGGGGGGTGGTGGAATAAGGAGAGATGGGGGTGGTGGAATAAGGAGAGATGGGGGTGGTGGAATAAGGAGAGATGGGGGGGTGGTGGAATAAGGAGAGATGGGGGGGGTGGTGGACACGGGCGTACCTAGAGCATTTGGCACCCGGGGCGGATCCTGTGCTTGGCACCCCCACCCAAAAAAAAAAAAAGACCAGTGGAGCCAGACTGCAGCTAGAGCCCGTCATCATCCTCATCTGGTTGTAAGTAGGTAATCTAGTATATTATTCGTGGCACTAAGCTCTAATTTACCTCACATTAAAGAAACACTATAGTCCCCAGAACGATTGCAGCTTAATGTAGTGGTTCTGGTGTCTATAGCCTGTCCTTGCAGGCCTTTTAATGTAAACACGGCGGCACTGCAGCACTGGCGTTAGTTAACATGGCAAATCATATGGGTGGGGCATTGTGATGTCACATGGGGGGGCGGCAAACTTTACATTTGCCTAGGGCGGCAAAAATCCTTGCACTCCCAAAAGCATTTTTGTGGACAAAAGTTCAGGTACCCATTGACTTCAATGGGGGTCGGGGTCAAGTTTTTTTTTTTCTTCAAAGCTCAGCTGAACCCGCCGGACCCTAACATCCAGGTGTCCGTTCAACTGTAGCTGTGAGCCAATTACTATCATCTAAAAGAGGTCAGTGTATGCTGCTCTCTCCTGGGGCATCGGCCACAGCTGCCCCAATGCAAAGTAAATGAGTGATGTCAGAAATTATTCTCTGAACAGATGGAAACTTTGTTTCTTTTTATTCTCTCTTCTATTGCCTTAAGTCTGTCAGGGTACATTTTTCAACACACCAATAATCAGAATACATGAAATAAGAAATGGAGATCCATGGAGTGGTCATGTTTGATGTATAAGGGGGAAAAAAAAGCTAAAGAATGATCAAAATGCAAACTAAATTCAAGGAAACCAAAAATTACAGAAAGGACAAGGAAACCAGAATGACAGTCATGCACATGTGCAGAAGCATCAGTCATCACTCAGCACAGCAAATGAGAGTCATCAACATCCCATTTTTGTTTGTTTTTTATTTATAAAAATAACATTTCTAAACTATTTTTATAAAATGTTGCTCTATGTGCTTTGTATGAACCTGAAGCAGCAGGTACGTTAGGTTGAGCAACATCTGGTCAGAAAACAGCAGAAACCTGACCCAACATGGCTACTCAGCAAGATAAAATTTTATGAAATTAAATATGTGTAAAAAATCACTAACAAGGTTATTTGCTAATCATTCTCATTTTAGTCTGTATGCTGCTGAAATTCCATATTTCACTCTGCCAGAACACCCCTAGGCTCCCGAAGAACTACATGTCAAAACCTTGACTTAAATCTCTAAAAAATCCACCTATTGTGAAATTATATCTCTCGCTTTGGAACTTGGCATAACATCATCCTCTGACTCTTAACTTTTCCTACAACTTTCTATAACATTTGTCCACAGTGTCTTTTTTATGGCTTACACAGTTGCCCAGCTATGTTCCAACATGTCATCTGATGACTTGGTATAGATGCCATTGTTCCATAGTAGTAAATAGTTATATAGCAATATGGATTGTTATGATGTTCACTTACACCGTTTTTATAACACGAGGCATCAGCGAAGTTTGTGGTAATATCTAAAATGGGGGATGTTGATTGTGTTTTTTCACTCAGAGAGGGATTTTGAGTTTGACAATATTCATCAATGCACTAATCTCTGCCGTGTACAGGTTTGTTGTAGTTTTGCTTAAAGTTAGAGCATGACAATTTTAGAACTTTGGAATGTTGTGTGACAGCTTGTCACATATCTCTAAATATAAATGCCAATAATAATAATAATAATTAAAAACATCAGCAAACTGTGGAACAGTTGGTTACAAATAAGGGACCTGCACAATGGTCCCCACCATAGCACTCCAAAATATTTAAAATATGTCTGAGAGTGCCCGGTCAGGGCAGTGGAAGTTGTCAAGTAACCCCATTATGAGGGCTGCTGCTCTCCTGCTAATGACATTTAACCCTCACCAACCTGATGGGTGAGATTCATGGGGAACCAATGGTCAGATTTTCATCATTTAACTAATTGAGCCCTCCATTCAACAGCCATGGGGATGGGGACAGGAAGAGGTGAACAGCCGCCCATGGCAAGATGCCCATGATGCCAGGTTATCAGAATGGCTGTTGATAACCATCAACCTGTTATCCAAAACCCATCAAATTCATAATTTTATTCATTATTTGTATCTTTTTCCAGTTTCATTTATACGGGTGGGGTTACAGAACAAAGAGGAAGCATTAGGTGATTTCATAAGGCATCAGCAGAACAGGAGAGCACACAAAACAATTAACAATACACCTATAATGGGCTCAGGTTTACAGCATCCATTTTACATTCATTGTGAAGCTGCATTCTTAGTGAGCTGTCCAGGAGGTGGGAGGGTCTGGGAGGGAGGGTCTGCTGCTGATTGGCTGGAATGTGTCTGCTGACTGTGAGGTACAGGGTCAAAGTTTACTCAATGATGAGTCCGCGGCGAACCGTTCGGGACATCACTATTCTCCTATTCAACTATATTCACAACTTGGCTATTTTAGCTTAAATCTTGCTATTTCAAGTTACTGCAAACGGACGTTTATCAAATACGCCCCACAGTAGTTCCATAGGTGTTCACTTCACCTGTCAGTGGTTTTAATGTTGTGGCTGATCAGTGTACTGCGTAATCCCCTCCTTTCACACCCACCACTTGCAAATGTGCCCATGGGAACATGAAAACAGAAAGCATTCCTGGTTTGTGCCAGCCGCTGCCCAGATACCCGGTTCTGCAAAAAAACATCAATAGCCTGGATACCAGGCAAACAGTAGAGACTCTGCCAAAATTATACTGAAAGGAGCCTGTGGTGTATGTGTATAAATAGATTTATATTGTAGACAAAGGGAGGATTGCATGTGCAGGAGAAAAGGTGGAGTAAATAGCTACGCGAAACTTAATCTTTAAAGAGTTACCAAGTTTATATCTTGCAAAGTTGTTATTGAAGCGGTTCATAGGTTAATTCAGCTTTTCTTCTTCCTGAAACTAATTACAGACTATAAAATAAATCCGTGTTTTTTTAGATGTTCACGTAACTGTTGACAGAGTAGTTTGTGTTTGTTTACGTGGAAATATTTTGAAATATTGCCATATTTTATACTGCAAACACTTTTTTAACCCATACCTCCCCAATGTCCCAATTTTGGGCCGCAATCTCTCTGTCCCAGTTTTCTATACTAATGTCCCTCTTTTCTAGGAGTTCCGTATTGCTGGTGTGTTTGAGTGTATAACAGAGCTCCACAGCAATAATACCCATAGTAATGGGGCTTTAAACTACAGTAAATCTGTTTAGAAATCAGTCTGTTTAAATAAGATAACACAAAAGAGTAGAACAAATGCAGGTAGGCTTAGGGTATCTCACGAATCCCAGTCTGACTACATTACCTGGAAATATTACATAGAAGTATAGCGTGAAGTAATATTAACTAGAGATTAACTCCAATATAGACAAATGAAAATAGAGTAGATGTAACATAAACACTAGTATTCCTATGTAACTAAAGGGAAAGCACCAAATGCCACAGCTAGGGTCTGGCAGTATGTATTCGTAAAGAACCTTTACACCTATATGACAGCTTTAATAGAATACATATGCTACATAGGAAAAAGTGTTCATATATCTATCTAATTGCCAGTAACTAGCTTCCTGAGTGCAAAATCCCACAGATTCCTTGTGTCCATATATATATGTATAGGACCATGGAGTAAATGTCTGCTGATAATCTATACTAATGCAAAGTTAGTTTGTATTGAAAAAGTCAAAAATAGGTAAGCGCTAATAATATATAAAAAAAAAAAAGGTAGGCAGCAACCTTATAGAGGGTAACCCTCTTACCCTCTAGATAATGTACAGTAAAACAGGAAGAAAGGTAGCGCCAAAATAAAACGAAAAAATAAGTAAAATAAATAAATAAATAAAATAAAATGAGTCCCAATATATGTTGGAGGGTAGAAGTGTCTGTTCCACAATTTCCACTGGTAAAGTGCTTCCTCTGTCTGTGATACTTCAGATCGTCTCGTGATATGGAAAACACAAAGGGAAAGGACCAATCGTGCAGAA